CCTTGCTCTTATACTCTATGCCTCTATTTAGAAAGTCAAGGATCCCATATTTTTTTTAACCGCTTTGTCAACTTGTCCTGTCTCTCACCATTTCTAGCTTACCATTTCTCCCTCTCTTTTTGCCATTTCTCTCACTCTTATCTCACCATTTCTCTCTCTCTCTTGCACCATTTCTCACTGTATCTCAAGACTGATCATTCTTAAATGGATATGTTCTGAAATCTCTTGCGAGATGTCCTCTAAGTGATGGGCTGTGGTTTATTGGTGGGTCGGGAGCATCAGCTGGGAGAAGTAAGGCTTTATGTAACTGACGCGGTTTTCCGGGTAGCTTTCCGCAGGGATCGGCTGTATACAAAGGTTTGTTTGTTGCAGGATTTAGTCAGACAGGACGGCTTGTTAAAGATCACCAGAGTAAGCAACATCCTGCATTGCTTTCCAACACTGTAAAAAGGAATGCTCAGTTGAATGTTCAGTTTAATAATGTTAGGATGTATCAAAAGACCAATAGCAAGCTGAAATAGTGGGGTAATCCTGCCACTGTATAAATTATTGATGAGGCCATACTTAAAGAGTACTATGTACAGTTCTGGACGCTGCAGTACAAAAAAGGATATGGGAGAAATTGAGAGGATGCAGAGAAGGGCAACCAGATTGACTGAGAGAACGGAGGAGCATTTGACTAAATTGGGCATGTTCACGCTGGAAAAGAGACAATTAAGAGGCGATATGATTGGTATCTTTAAGATTCTAAAGGGGCAAGACAATATAGATCATGACAGGCGGTTTCAAATACCAGAGGCCACGGCCTGCGATTGAAAGGGGGGAAATTCAGAATGAATCTACACAAACACTATTACAGTGAGAGAATAGTGAACCTGTGGAACAGGCTCCCGAGGGTTGAAGCAGAAAGGGTTGATTGTTTCAAACACAGATTGGATAGTTTTCTTTCAGGAAATAACATTTTAGGATATAGCACATAGAGAGTTTAGGACATTTGTGCAGGCGACCGCCAGGAAGGTGGAAAGCGAACTAGATGGACTTTGGTCTGTTTATCGTCCAGCATTTCTTATGTTCTTATATTCTTTATGTAATAATCCTAATAATCAGGAATTTATCTCAAAGCATTTGACACGATATACTGTAAAGTGTAGTGACTGTATATGTTGAAGTTGAATGCGCCAGCCAACTTATGTAGGAACAGGAGTTAGCCATTCAGCCCCTCAAGCCTGTTCCAACATTCTAACAATACTATGGCTGATCTGAACCTCAGCTCCAATTACCCGCCTTTTCTCCATGTCCATTGATACTGTGACCTAACAAATTTGCACACAGCAATGTCCCTCAACAGCCATAAAGTGACTGACCAATTTATTTGGGGGATTGTTGTCCTGAACACTATTTAACATTTCATCTGAAGGACAGCTCCCCCAGCACTGTTCTGGAATGTCAGCCTGGATTGTGAGCTCAAAGTCGCAATGTGGAGTTTGAAGCCCCAATCCTCTTGACTCAGAGGCGAGAGAGCTATCAACTGAGCCAAGCTAACACACAATGGCCTCCTCTGTGCTAAAAATCTCTATGTAAATGCAAGAGCAATAAAAATTGCAAATCATATTTAATGCTTGGTTTCAAATTTTCTCCAGCAAATCTCAATGAGGCTGTGATTCAGTCAACCGGCAAAAGCTTTTGAGAAGCAGCCTTTCCATCAATACTCGAATACGTGGAGTCCTGTAGCTCAGTGGTTAGAGCACTCGCCTCACAAGCGTGAAATCTGGATTCGATTCCCAGCAGGGCAAAATGTTAGGCAAGTTTCCTTACTCCACACATCTCTGTTTACCTAGCAGTAAGAAGGAACTTGGTTGTTAGTCGATTGGCGGATCGCTTTTCTGGGGCTATTAATTCCTTAAAACAAAAGAAAAATCGATCCCCTTCAATCCACGGCTGTTTGTGGGACGCTGCTGTGCACAATTGGCTGCTGCGTTTCGCCCACAAAATATACAGCCACTCCTCTTTACAGTATATTTTGTGAAGCGATCTGAGAAGTCTCGAAGACGTGATAAGCCGCTATATCAAATGCAAGAATTATTATGTAAATCTTTTCATTTCCCCACAAATGACCACCTTGGGTCACCCAATGTGCCTGCTCAGTTCAGCTGATTTTCAATGGTGCTGACAATTGGATCCAATGTGCAATATTTTTCAACAGGATCCCAGAATCCCATCAGAATTCCCGCCGATGTCCAGAATGCTGCTTCAGAAGCGGATCTCGTAAGGTGAGGCCAGGCGAGAACGTGTACTTCCGGTTATTGGAAGAAATTTCCATTCTCACCCACCAAACGCAAGGATTATTTTTATTATTCCTCATGTTTCCAGTCTGAGTGACTGTACTTTATTTGGAAGCTAAAACACTTCCAAAGCACTGCAGCAGGACCACTGTGCCAGCTCCACGCATTCAGGTGAGATGTTAAACCGATCTCCTGTCTGTCTGTTCAAGTGAATGTTAACGGTACAACAAATTGCATTTACGTAGCATCTTTCATGTCAGGAGGATGTCCAAAGGTGCTGAGATCCTGTACACTATTTGAAGAAAGAAGGGAGTGTCTCTCTCCCGGTGTTCTGGCCACCAATCCTCCCAGATAAAATTGGTCACTCATGGCTATTTGTGGGATGTTGCTGTTTGCAAATTGGTTTGTACCATTAGATATATTATTTGGGGAGGACAAGTTTGTAGGGCTATGTGGGAGAGAGCGGGGGAGTGGGGTTGATCAGGGGTATGGGGAGAGAGCGGGGGAGTGGGGTTGATCAGGGCTATGGGGAGAAAGCGGGGGAGGGGGGTTGATCAGGGTTATGGGGAGAGAGCGGGGGAGTGGGGTTGATCAGGGCTATGGGGAGAGAGCGGGGGAGTGGGGTTGATCAGGGCTATGGGGAGAGAGGGGGGAGTGGGGTTGATCAGGGCTATGGGGAGAGAGCGGGGGAGTGGGGTTGATCAGGGCTATGGGGAGAGAGCGGGGGAGTGGGGTTGATCAGGACTATGGGGAGAGAGCGGGGGAGTGGAGTTGATCAGGGCTATGGGGAGAGAGTGGGGGAGTGGGGTTGATCAGGGCTATGGGGAGAGAGCGGGGGAGTGGGGTTGATCAGGGCTATGGGGAGAGAGCGGGGGAGTAGGGTTGATTTGGAAGCTCTTTTCAAAGAGCCGACACAGACACGATGGATCGAATGCCCTCCTTCTGTGCTGTATAATTCTATGATTCTATGATTCTCCTATCAATAGAGTTGCTGGAATTTATAGTAAAATCCTGTGAAGCTCTTTGAGATGCCTCAATGATGTGATAAGGCTCTGTATCAAATGCAAGAGTTATTTCATTATTCATGTCCTCCTGACATGAAAGTTATATACAAATATAACTTGTATTTTACTGGTGTAGGTGGACTAAGCAGCAGGAGAGTGGGATTAGAGTTGATAGCTCCAGCAGGGGAGCGAGCACACAGCCCACTAAATGGCCTCCCTTCAAACTGAATTGTAAATGATACAATGACTGAGCAAAGGGAAAGCGTGATATATGCAGCATGTACTAACAGGGAGAGGGTAAAAGATTGACCTGTTATTGAGAAGATAAGTAAGAATGGCATCCTCAGGATGTTTGTGAGCAGATCTGTTGTCAGACACTGGGATACCCAGATCACACAGCGCAGATGTGTGGAATCCAGTAGCTCAGTGGTTAAAGCACTCCCCTCGGAAGTGAGAAGACCTGGGTTTGATTCCCGGGCAGGGCGAAACGTTGGGCAAGTTTCGTTACGCCGCCCGCCTCTGTTTACCTAGCATTAAGTAGGTAACCCAGTTGTTAAATCACTTTTCCAAAAAGCGTCCCCCCAACTTACACATTCACCCCCAGCCACCCAAAATGGACTTGTTGACGGAATTAGTCAATTTAATGGCCAACTATGGCCATCTTTGCGCTTAAACTGCTCTTTGATGTGTATTTGCTAACTGCCCACATTCAGCTATGCAGCGCAGTAGTGACATCCTGTTATTAATGGTCTGAACAAATGCTGTGATACAGGACCTCAGGCACTTGGCTGAACTCACACTCCTATTTGTTGTGTTTCTTCTCGTTCCTGGGTAACAACCAGCAGCATTCACGATGAAAGCAGCTCCCATCCCACGCCCGGGAATGGGTAAAGGCAATGTCAAGTTTGGACAGCGAGGGAAGAAGAGGGAAGAGAGATCTGTCCACACGTGACAAACATCAGCACATGTACAAGATCGAGTTCCAGGGTTGTCTGAAATTGCACAGAATTTAAATGAGCCTTGCAAGGAGAGTTCAGCTGCAATTAGATAAATGCCAAGTTCGAGTGAAACACAAGAGTTTGAGTGACGGTTTACACTGGAGCTCGTCAAAGTACAGAACTGACTTGTGGGGAGAGGAGAGAGTGGTTGAATTTGACCACTGACATGTGGCCAGGATTGTAATATGTCTTAATCCACGAATGTTTGTGGGAGACTGCTGTGTGCAATTGGCTGCTGTGTTTCTCCCGCAAAATATACTGTACTGCCTTTACAGTACGTTTTGTGAAGCACTTTGAGACACCTCGAAGACGTGATAAGCCGCTATATCAAATCAAGGATTATTATGTAAATCTTTTCATTTCCCCATAAATGACCACCTTGGGTCACCCAATGTGCCTGCTCAGTTCAGCTGATTTTCAATGGTGCTGACAATTGGATCCAATGTGCAATATTTTTCAACAGGATCCCAGAATCCCATCAGAATTCCCGCCGATGTCCAGGAATGCTGCTTCAGAAGCGGATCTCGTAAGGTGAGGCCAGGCGAGAACGTGTACTTCCGGTTATTGGAAGAAATTTCCATTCTCACCCACCTCGGGCTCCTTATGAGGGAATCATCCCAAGAAACACCCCCAAATTAACACCGGTGAGGAGAGAGGGAGTGTTAGTCAGTGTTAACACACAATGAAGCTGGAAGAAACAGAGGAGGTGGACTGACCTGATAATGAAGGCTCCTCGGATTTCCAGCAGTCTCTTCTCACTGTTAAATCTCTTGAGCAGGTTTATCATAAACTTGAAGAAGTAGGAGTTCATGGTGGGAGTGGAGGGGGAGCACTCTAGTGTCCGAGGTCCTAGGGCACAGAAACATACACATTCAACTCCAATGGGAAATCATCTGAGGTGAGTATGAGGTGGGAGATGGCAGGAGTTAAGTAGGAACCTGGTTGTTAGGCAATTGGCAGATCACTTTACAGGGGAATAATCCCTTCAAAAAAAAACTAATTAATTAATTAATTTAGTCACTCAATTCACGACTGTTTGTGGGACACTGCTGTGTGCAATTGGCCGCCCACAAGATATAGTCAATTCACTTTACAGTATATATATTTCTGTGAAGTGCTCTGAGATGTCTCGAAGTCGTGATAAAAGTGCAGTATCAGATGCAAGGGTTATTATTATACCTTATTGTTTATAACCCATCTCTTTTCCGTGCTCACCTCAGTAAGCCTGAAGCCGAGCAGTTGCCTGAGGTTCAATGGAACTAATCCGAGCTATAGCCTCAGTACGTTTCCACCCGCTCGTAAACAGTTAATGCAGTTAGCGCCTGTGATCATCTGGGCATGTTGCTATGTAGATCATGTGTTGAGATCAATGCGTCCAGTCCCTTTTTACCCCCTGTACCCCACAGTTCATTAGGGACTGTGTAAAATCCTACCCCTCACTGTATAATGAGCAATCTGGTTTCATTCTGGGCGTCGTAAATAGTGAAGTAATCTTCTCTGCGCTTTCATATTCAATGTGTTTCATTCACACACATGCAGCCAAGAAAGGCTGATGAAGCTGCCCACATGTTGGAATGATTCAGGATCAGGAACAGAGGAGCTGCTCGTTGTAAAACATGAATATACTGGACTGCCTGCCATCGTCAAAGCCATGGCGAAGGCAATACCTGGGACCTTACATCAGGGAAAAAACAATCACATGACAAGCCATTCATCCCAACTTTAAAAACCCATGCATCAGCCTGGCTCACTGTCTGAGTCAGAAGGTCGTGGGTTCAAGCCCAAGTTGGGACTTGGAATCACACAGTCTAAGTCACACTCCAATACAGCGCTGGCGGTGTGTTGCATTGTCAGAGGTGCCATCCTTCGGTTGAGAGCTTACACTGAGGTCCCGGCTGTCTGTTCAGTTGGACGTTAAAGATCCCATGGCACTACTTGAAGAAGAGAAGGGAAGTAGTTCACCATTGTTGATAATCATCCCTGTATCTGACACGGGGCCTGAAATGTCATAATGTCTCAAAGTGCTTCTCAGGTAATTCCTGTAAATTCCTGTAAAGGTTCCTAGTTCCATGTGTATTTGCAGGTGAATTTGGCTATGCAGGGAACACAGAGAATGATCTTCAATGTTAGAGGAAAGCTGAATTAAGACTGAACTTCAGCAGGACTCGTGAAACCTTTCCTTCCAAGGCACAACAAGCTTTGCCAAGCTGCATGGGGGAGTGGGGGGGATAGAGGGGGCAGGAATGTGAGGCTTAAGAGGATGACAGACATAGGGAGGGACGAGAATGAAGATCTTGAGGTCAATCCCAAGTACATTGTCCATGTTCAACATCACTAATCTGTTAAATAACTAAATCACAATAATTATGTCCTGCTCATTAGATCCTCTAAATAATAAATCCCCTGAATAAAATTGGTCAATGACTGTTTGTGGGACACTGGCTGCCGCGTTTCTCCCACAAAGTACACAGTCACACCACTTTATAGTGTGTAATGAAGCGCTTTGAGATGTCTCGACAACATGATAAATCGCTATATCAAATGCAAAGATTACTATCATTATTATTAATCCACTGGGAGGCAGAGAACCAGTGGAGCCTGGCGAGGATGGGAAGAGGGAAGGGGGGAGTGAAGCTTAAGGCAGGTAAGGATCCGAGCAGCCGAATCTCAGCAGAGTGAATGTTGCAGCCAATTTCTCAAAATCTGAATGAAAAAATCTAAAGTATCTTTAGAACAAATGAGGCATCAGGGACTGGAGATTGTTATCTTTCCCTGGCTTTAATAGGCAATAGGGCGTTTAAAATGATCCGTCAATCACCATTTTAAGTTCCCCAAATATGAGCACATTGAGAGAGGCTTTTCAAAATGAACTGTGCCTAACGCAGTTCTCAGAACTATGCACAGCAACGTTTCCAGATGTGAAGCAAAGAGCCAGCCATTCCTGCACTGGGGAGTATGACCCCCAACACAGGAGGATTTAGACTGACAGAAACAAGTGGAAATATGGGCTCCTGGGGTGTGGGGAGGGTAGAGAGAGAGAGAGGAAAGTGGGTTTGACAATCAACTGTTTAAGAACTGAAGTTCCTTAAATTTCCTTCACATTTTGCGAACCAGATGTATAACAGGTGGTGATCAGATGCAATGTGCTGCAGTCGGTAACCGTGCTTGAGAGGAAGCATATTACATGTAAAAGGTGGTGTTATAGCTCGTGGAGTCCTGTAGCTCAGTAACTCACTAACCCGGGTTTGATTCCCGGGCAGGGCGAAATGTTAGGCAGGTTTCCTTACCCCACAAGCCTTTGTTTGGCGCTGATAGCATCAGCATCCAAGGCTGCACTCTCCACCTCTCAAAGCCAGTCAGGAACCTCGGGGTTCTGTTCGACCCTGAGCTGTCCTTTCTCCTCATATCAGCGCCACAACTGGCATCGCCTTCCACCACCACCGGAATGTCGCCAGACTACGGCACTACCTCACCCCTCACGCGGCTGAAACTCTGGTCCACGCCTTTATCACCTCAAAGCTGGACTATGGGAACTCTCTCCTCGCCGGCCTTCCCAGCCCTCCCTCCACACTGCAGGTCATTCATGCCTTCATCACCTCCAGGCTCGACTATGCAAATGCCGCGCTTGTCGGCCTTCCCAACTCCTCACAGGCTGCAGATAATCCAGAACTTTGCAGCCCATGTCCTCTCCCGCACCAAACTCTGTGACCCCCATCTCCCCCATTCTCGCCCGACTCCATTGGCTCCCTATCCTTCAGAGGATCCAGTTCTCGTCCTGGTCCTCGCCTACAAAGCCCTCCATGGCCTCGCCCCATCCTATCTCTGTGACCTCCTAACCCCCTACCAACCCACCCGCTCCCTCCCCTCAGCTGTCTCCAGCCTGCTCACATCACCCACCCCACCATTGGCGGGAGAGCCTTCAGCCACTCTGCCCCCAACTTCTGGAATTCCATCCCCCAGTCACTCTGCCTCGCCCCCTCCTTAGCCTCCTTTAAGTCCCGCCTCAAAACCCTCCTCTTTGACCACGCCATCAGCCACCCCCCTTTCCCCTCCTCTTTCCCCCCTGACCCCAGCTCGGGTCTGAAATGCTGTTCACTGTCCAGCACCTTGGGACGTCCTCCCGACATGAAAGGCGCTATACAAATGTAATCTTGTTGTTAGTGGACCGGCGGATTGCTTTTTGGGGGGTAATAATCCCTTAAAAAAAAATCAATAAAACAAAAATAATGTGGTCACTCAATCATCGACGTTTGTGGAACAATTGTCCGCAATTCGCTGCCGCGTTTCGCCCACAAAATATACAGTCAATTCACTTTACAGTATATTCTGTGAAGCGCTTTGAGACATCCTGAAGACGTGATGAGGCGCTATATCAAATGCAGAGATTGTGTTATCATTATACAGAGACACACAAGACGTCTTCCCACCCCCAAAGGGACAGGGAGAGGTGTCATCACAGCCTGCCTTATCGTGTTCTCCCCCAACAGGTAGTGAGGCCCTGGATAGTGATCTGGAGCAGGAACCCTGGCTGATTTCCCCCTACCTGACCACTGCCCTCACTGAGAAAACCGGAACGTGCATTAGTATTGCACATTACATCTCACATCGCTTTGTAGCAATTACTGTCAAGTGTAGTGAATTTTTTTTAATATTAGTAAAGGTGGGCAGAGCTAACAGTCACAAAGTCACCGACCAATATTTGAATCTGGAGGATTGTTGGCCAGGGCATCGAGAGAAACTCCCTTCTCCTTTCAGTTAATACCATTGGGATCTTTAACCACCTCGTCGGCCACCTTCCCACCCCTTTCTTCATTCCCCCCGATGCCAACTCCCAGCTCGGGTCCCAAACCTCCTGACTGTCCAGCACCTTGGAACATCTTTCCAAAATGAAGGGCGCTATACAATTGTTGTTAACATTCACCTGAACAGGCATGAACAGGGCCTCAGTTTAATATCTCATCTGAAGCATGGCACCTCCAACAATTGAACACTCTCCCCGGCACTGCACTGGAGCATCAGCCAAGACTGCAAGCTGAAAGTCCCAATGTGGGTTTGAACCCATCACCTTCTGACCTAGAGGTGAGAGAGCTACCAACTGAGCTGGACTGATACTCATCTATAGTACCTAGTGAATCGCAACGGTATGAGATAATGTAGGCTGTTTCAACTTGTCCAGAACAGTAGAAGGACATGGCCTGTGAATGAAGGGTGAGGGTAAATTCAAGACTAATCTGCGGAAACACTATTTCAGTGAGCGAGTGGTAAATCTATGGAACAGACTCCCTTGGGAGACGGTGAAAGCAGAAAGTGTTGATTCATTTATATGCAAATGAGATAGACTTATTTTAGGATAATATTTTGGGATACAGTATGTGAGTAGTTCAAGACATGACATGTGCAAGCAACGGCCATGATGGTGAAAGGTGAACTGGATGGACCTTGGTCTTTTTTCATCTAGCATTTCCTATGTTAACTGTACTCCATCACCCTTTGCCATGTTCTGTGATGGAATCACCACAACCCCACACAATCCTCCACTTACAGCCTCACCGACATCTTGCAGAAATAAAACAGATCAACGTAGCAATCAGCCCCAGTAGATTCATCACAACCCGCAGACGTGCAGCTTTTTCCAATTGTGGGTTCACAGAAGGTTCAGCAAAAAGTCCAGAGGCACGGAATACCTCACAGTCTTAGCCTTAAGATCAGTCTTAGCATTTGTCAAAATATTTATGAATTGGTCTTAACAGTTGGACTACAATTGCCTCAGTGCCCTAGGTTCCCAGTGTAAGCTGGATCACAGACATCCTTGCTGCACAGTGATGTACTACAATCTACCAGCACTATTA